TCTCACAGCTGCATAAGCCCTGCTGGAGTTGCAAGGCATCGCTTTCACCCGGCCAGACTTCACCAGGGTCTGCTATGGCCCTTGCAGACCTGATGAATGTTCTGCCCCATTGTTTACAGAAATAATTTCACTTTTGACATAAGAAAAGTGAGATTTTTTTTTCTTCTCCTCCTGTAATCAGGTTTGATATAACCATATTAATAGTGACAAAGTAGTTAATACCTTGTCGCCGCGCAGTAATTGTATCTTCATCCCTGTTCAGTTCAGCAGACAGGGACAACTTCAAGAATTGGAGTACTCATCGAAATGTTTTCGGAGAGGGATCGGATGTTGGGCTGGCAGCACAGATGCTTCTGCAGGGTGGGATGCAGAGAGCTTGGGATACGTTCGGGGCAGGAAGGAAAAGCAGGAGATAATGTATGGAATTACTCTTTGGTTATCGCTGTCGTAAAGAAAACTTTCAGGGATCTACAAAAATCTGTGCTGTTAGTCAATAGCTCTGGTGTCCTTAGCACCTTGTTTAGAAAAACTCGCTCTTGTCTGTGCAGGGAAGTCTGCATGTAAATCCTTCTCCCTTCTGGGTATGGGAAGATAATTCAGTTTCTGTCACCCCAGCAATATGTCTCTTTCTTTTAGATCACTTTCTGAAGATATAGAGCAGGCTCCTGACTAGTCCTCCAGTTCTTAAAATCCCACTGTACTTTGAAGATAGGACAGGCAATAAATCTACAGCGTGCTAAATGTTTTCTATCAAGAGTTAAGAGCTGGAGATTCTCCTGGGCTCGTTGCTGAGTGTTTTTTTCAGTGTCGTTGTTTTTCTACATCACCCTGATTCAAATGTCTACTTCAGACAGCTTTTGATCATGTACTTACCTACTTTTATGGTAGAAAATAAGGTATGGTGTAGGCTGTGACCATCTGAAACAGTAACGTCAACGTAGACGTTCCTACTTGCCTTTATGTACTCTCTAGTTATCTGCAGAGGCTTTTTATTTTCCATATTTGTTTTTCAATAACACATTGATCTTTGCAATGCAGTAAGAATCCTGTAAAAAGAAATTTCTGGGTGGTAAACCTGACATCCCATAGCTTGCACTCCCTCCTGTATGTAAGGTTTTTCTGGTTGGCTGTACTAATTGGAACAAAGTACTGCCGTGTAAAATAGAACTCCTTTTGAAAAATGCTTTGGAGCTTTTTACAAATTTCCTTTGAATTTATAATGTAAAAGATGTATTTTCAAAATATAGCCAAAAATATTCAGTGCTTTATGGCCTCAAACATCATCTGGGAGAAATCCAGGAAGGAGGGGAAAAACATACTTGTCTTAATGTTGTCTCTGCTACTAATAAAATTCCAATTACCTTCAGGTTGTTTAAATTTCACTTCATATATCAACAGTAGAAATAATTAGGCATAGAGCATCTCATGTGGCCCCCTTTATTTTTTTTCTCCAATATCGGATCACTGCTAATTCCATTGAATGTGCTATTTGTCTTCTTTATTTTTTAGCTACACGAAAGTAACTATGATGCTGGAAAAGCCCTGCAGCGGTTGGTGAAGAAGCCTGTGCCCAAGCTGATTGAGAAGTGTTGGACTGAAGATGAAGTGGTAGGGAAATGAATTATTCCCTTGAGCTTTATAGTTCATGTTGCTTCTCTCATTCATTTCATTTTTTTTCCAAAAGAGGTTATTTTTATGGGAAAGAAGAGAGGCAAATAATTTATTGCACAGGGTACATCTTTGCACACTCCTGAGTTAGTGGACTCTCATTCAGCATACAGAACTTTATTAGGCTATCTTTCTAATAAAGAACGAGAGGAGAGGATCAAGTGACTGTAGTTGAGAGGACTCCATAGGGGAGATGAACAGCTGGAAAACCTCGGGGCTCTAAATTTCACTTCCACTTTCACCTCCAGGCAGGCTGGCCCCATCCATTAACTGGAGTAGGACAAGATGTAAAAAGGCACATGAAGCATTGTCCTGGATTTGTACCTGCTGGTGTTGGAGAAGGCTCCCAGCGTCAGCACAAGTCAGCTAATGGGAAGCTAGATAGCAGTGTTTTCTCTTAAACTGAGTTTTAAGTCCCTTTTTCCCTTCATACGGGATATTAGAAATTGCTTGCTGGCATCATTCTTGATGGATGAGTCTTTGACAAAGAGCAGACCAAAAGGAGATAATAGGGAAGCTGGGATTTAGCCACGCCATCTGCATGCACACTAAAGTATGCAGGACTCGTCAGGCTCCAAAACCGTGCTGAAAACAGCGCATCCATCTTAAACAAAGCTCCAGAAATAATGTATGGACATGATGAATGTGGGGTGTACAGTAAATATCCACCACAGTATCGTGTCCTCACCATTATGGAACTTGGATTTGGGCACATAGAGTTTAACATCCCAGTACACTGCAAGCCTCATCCACACACACGGCGTAGGGAGGAACCAGCAGGGTGATTTCTCTGGCATTGTCAGGTAGTTACAGACCTCTGGGGTATCTGGTTGGGGCTGTAGTGCCAGAGGTGAAGGAACATGTCAGCACGTTATTGCTTCCTTCAGCCAGAGGCTGAGGTTTTGGGTCTGTATGGCTTCAGATGGAAATTTCCTGCTATTGATATTAGCCTACTAAAAGAGTAAGTATTAGCCTACTAAGAGTATTAGCCTATTAAAAGATTCTGCAGTCTGATAGTGGAGGGGGAAAAAAAACAAACAAAAAAACCAACTTCTGAGCTGAGAAAGACACCTCTTCAGAAAAGCTCTAATTGACAGAGAAGGTGCTGGGAAAGCACTCCATGCTCCCAGACGAGTGGACCACATTTTGTATTCCTGTGTCTTTTTGCAGAATTTGGGGGAGATGATATCTGCTCAAGAATTAAAAAGGCAAAGGTTTCTCCTTGTGGTTTGTTTGTTCTGCAGTTTAATTGCTGCAATTGTGAGATTGCTGCTGGCTTAATTTTTATGTGTATGACATAATGCAACTGTGCTTATTAAAGTGTTTTGTAGGGTTATAAATCACACGAAGTTGGGAGCAAATTATAGATTCTTAATTTGCTGACAGCTAGTAAACAAGCAGATTCATATTCTGTCTGAATAAATAGCAATATTTGTTGCATTCAGCACAAAAGTTGCATTTTCTGGCAGCGTGCGGAAACCAAATGCTGTTGTTACAACCCTTTGTTTGTCAGACCTTGCAGCTTGAGCTCGCATGCAAGTACTTGACTGCAAACAGGGAGACACTTGTGCATTTTCACGGTGTGGGAGAAGAGAAGTGCTGAACGAGTTCACTTGGATTATGTCCTAAAAATATTTTGCATTTTAATGCCGCTGTTAAATGCACTTAACAAAATAGATTTATGTCAGATGGAATGCGTAAGAAGACAGTGCCTCCTTAGCAAGCTGACTAGGCATGTCTGGGTTGGTGAAAATGGAAAAAGGTTATTTCCTAGCTCAATAATTAGGCGGTGGTGTGCACTAAAATAGAAAATCAGATGGCTGAAATTTAGCTATGATAAAATATTTATCAAAGAAGAACCTCAGACTCGCTTGTGGTTTTTACCTTTCACTGTCCAAAAAGCTGCTTCTCTCATGTGTGATAATAAATGTGGTATAAATGGAAGTAGAAATTCAACACGTTGTGTGTACCTACCAGGTGTCTAAATGAAAAATCTGATTTGGGGCAAGACAACACGGTTCATATAAAAGATGAGCAAAGTTCTGTGGGTTGCTGTTGTTTTTCTTTTTGAACGAATGAACTTTTAAGGTAGTTAATTGGTAGAGTAAAAGTACATTTGGAAATACAAATAAAAATACAATTTGTGTTCTTTTGTTAAGTAATTAAGGTGGCATTGGTGCTGTAAAATAGGGCTGATAATAGGGTGGCGTTTTCATGGGCTCTTAACACTTCTTAATTATTCAGTCGGTGGCTGGAGAGACTTTTTTTTTTTAAGCTGTAGTTTATCTGAAAGCCTTTCAAGGATTTATTCCAATGAATTGTGTGTACTTGCTCTCTCCTCATACGTACCCTTGTGCAAGAGCTAGATTAGGGCAGGCCAGGCTGTGTAAACCCGTGTTCAAGTCGGCTTTATTCAGAAAGCCAACAAAGAACCTTTGTGGTAAGGAGGGTGCCTGAAGTGGTGGGGTGGAAGAGGATCGTGTGCTAGCACGGCAGCAAGGCAAGCAGAGGGTGAGTAAAAAGCCTAGAACATGCTTTCCTAATAAGGTTTTCGGCAATCTCATCACAAAAGGGCATTTTGTTTGGGGCGCTGGCTGCTGGAACAAATGCTTCCAGTGCTCAGCCTTGTGCTCGCTGTGTTTGTCCTCGCGCTGTCATTACCTCCGTTTTCTCTGCCTACATTCTTTCCGTAGAATGGTTAAATCGAACGCTGCCAACTCCTCTTCTTCTGTGCCGAGGTTTTTTTTTTCACTCTCCTTGTTTTTTCCATCAGCTGCACTATGCTGAGAATGCCAGAGCTGCTGCAGCTCGGGGATTTTGATCAGCAGTCCGTGTTAAATGGTAGAGAACAGAGCCTTGCGAGCAAGAAAAGGCAAAATTTACTGAAAAGTGAAACATTACTCCAAAAGTGCAGCCCCTGTGAGTGCAGACTAATGATCGTTAACTCTATAAATCATTGTCAGCCTCAGCTCGTTTTATCATATTTGTTCCTGTTCTGTTCCATCCAAGTTTCCAGAAACACTTGGCAGTCCTCCAGCCTCGGCAGAGCCAAAGATCAAACTGTGCTCTTATTTATAGACAGCTAAGCTCCACCTGCAGAACTTCATAGCTTGTTTGTCTCCGGCAGTTTGTAGAAAACTCCAGATTAAAGCAGCTGCACTGCACTCCTGAGCCTTTCTGGGGCTTGCAAGGCAAATTTCCTTCTCGTTGGCTCCGCAAACCTGCAGCAAACTCCCCCTGCACCATACGTAGGGTGCTGCAGCTGCACAGGAGCTCAACAGCCAAGGGTTTTGCAGAGGAAGAGACTGCGTCAAACCCCAAATCTGGCCAAAATAATTAAATTTCAGGGAGATCCTTAGTATTAAGTGTGTCTCCCCCATGTTGTGATGGGAAGCAATGAGCAGCAGGGAGTCTCAGGTGATGTGGGGCTGGTGACCTGAGAGTGGCACCAGTGAGGGAAGTGGAAGACCCAGGTGCAAACCATGTTCCCGTTTGTGCTGGGCTTCATCTCCTCTTGCAGCCCAGCAATTACCTACTGAGTGATTTTTATAACTCTTATGAATAGGCAGGTGCCACACCAGGCACTAAGCTCTGCTCAGTTAACCCTCTAACTGGGAAAGGCTCTGTAAATGACCAGCTCCATCCCAGAATGGCTGAGGCTGGAGGCGCCTCTGGGACCGCCTGGTCCAACCCCTGCCCAAGCAGGGCCCACTTAGAGCAAGTCAGCCAGGACCATGAACAGAAAATAATTAATAAAACCAAATCACAGCTTCCCTTGTCTCGTTTTTTCCACTCCTGCCGTTCTGATCCTATGATATTCTCCTTCCCCCTGCCAGCCCTCACAACAATTTTGTTATTACAAAGTTAATTTTCTGCCACTTTGTAAGGTCAGTGTCTGAAAAGCTTGGTTGCAGGGAGAGGCAAGAGACAGAGGGAAAGGAGCACCAGGGCTGTGTCAGGTTAGTGGGCAGGTGGCAAAAGCACCCGGAGGGGAAGTGTGGGCACAGCGATGCAGGGAAACAACTGGCTGGGTCCAAAAGTCGTTCTTCAACCGTTATGCTTCCTTAGGTCAAAAACCCTCCGAGTTGGTTGTTGAGTTACTTGCATGAGTGTTTTGAGCGAGTTTGCACTGTGCAGGGTGGGTGGGTACTGTCCTTCGGCTGTGGATGGGATAGCCAGGCATTGTCCAGCACAGGTCTCTGCAGTGTTCAGGAGGATTTGTGATCTGTGTGAATAGCTCAAATTTATTGTAGTTAGTTTTTAACTCTTTCTGCCGACTATCCGTTGCCCGAAGATTAAGCCTTTCTTGTTAATTAAAAGCCCTTTGCTGCCTGTGACCGATCTATCCGGTAGGAGTTGCCTTGCAGTGATCAGAACTGATTAAAATAAAGGATGGAGGTTATTTTTACTACTGATGAAGTGGTTACAGAGGTTTAGATCAAATTAAATAGAGGATAAAATTTACCACTGATTGAATTAAATGGAAGGCTCTGTAAATATGAAGATGGAGGTTTGCTGTCTCCCTGGTGTTTCTGAACCCATGGCTATTTTTAAACCTTTCTCATTCCAGTACGTATATTCGGGGGCACACTGTGAAAACCACAGTCCTTCCCTCCTGCCTACTAAAACCAGCTGAAGCAGCTCCTTCACCGATGCATCTACAGGCAGCTCTAAGAGCAGCTGCTTCCTGTTTATAAAGGCTGCTGCTCCACCTGACAGCATCAATCTCCAGCGTGACTTGGTGAGCAGGGCTTGGTTTTCTCTTGCCGTGCTGACGAATTCACTCCTGCAGACAAATTCAGTGAGCAGTTGTGGTGCAGAACACCGCATCGAAGTGCTTTCAAGCAGACCAGCGTTGTGCAGCATCACCTGGGGGGGATCCTGCTTGTTCGAGCTGGGCTGCAGTGCCTACCACAAGGCAGCAGTGGGGTTCCAGGTGGGTGCTTGCTTTGGGAAGAGGCCACGCAGTGTGCTGTTAGGACAGAGCAGGTCAGTTTTGACCACAAATGCCATGCCTGATGTGAATGGCACGATGCTGGGGCAAAGGGACTGACCTCAACCTTCAGGCAAGTGACAGGCTGATATCTTTCACTAATTCAAGGCTAGAGTAGCCCCATTTCCTTTCATTTTCTTCAGCCATCCTCCTAGTCCCCAGGACCTGGTAGCACGTGGGCTCTGTGACGCTCCGGTCTGCTCATCCTGCATGCAGCCATGGGCTGTGGCGTGGGCAGGACGTGGTGTTTGCCTTTCTGTGCTCTGAGACAACAAAAATGCTTCGCTGGAGCTCAGCCAGGAATGTTGGAGGGGAAGAGAAGTCATTGGTTCTGCATCTCCTGGCCACCTCTGAAAGTGGTTCTTTGTGTCTCTGACAGCACGGGCTGTTTTGGTGCAACATCAGTGATCCCTGTTAGGGATGGGGTGGTGCTGATCAATTAACCTTCTCCAGATGGAAATATTTCTAAAATTACGTTGAAATTGTATTTAGAAACATACTGACTTATAGCTTTCTGTCTATCGGGAACAACTACAACTAACCCCAATGCTGAGCACTTGTAGTTGAACCCTGGAGCACTGCTTCACTTTCCCCATGTGCCAGACCCGGAGCAATGATCTTGAGCTGCTTTCAGTTTAGTTTGACTTGAAACACCCCCATTTTCTGCTGTGGTTTCAGTGGAAATATTTCCCAAGAAAAATTGTCCTAATGGGATTTCCACTCTCTTGGGACGAGACGTGCTCTGAAAGCAGCTTCTATAATTTCAGTGATGCTCAGAACAATTCCGAGCTAACGCTTGCTCCTGGTCCCAAAATGAGCTGTGTCTGCACGCTTCCATTTCAGATAAATAACCTATCAAGTGACTGTCATTTACAGCAGATACAATGTTCATCTGAAGTTTTAATTTAATGAAATAGTTTTCAATTCCGGCCTGCCACACATATTGGGAACAGTGAAGGAAATAGTCCAGTTCTGGCTGTTCTTCATGTAACAGTTCTCTTTTTTTGTCTCTATTCAGAACGTGCTTTTTTTCTGTCTTTTTATCAAAAGTACCACCAAAATCAATACAGCTTACAGGAGAGAGAAATACAAATCAGAACTAAAAGAGAACCTCTAGTTTATTAGGTTTTTAATTAAACATGATGAACACATTTTAAATAACACAAAGGCCTCAGGCAGAGCTGCATCTAATCGAAACAGATTAAGTCACCCGTCCACACTTGGGTAGTTATTAATTCTGTTTATTTATGCATGCTTGCTGAAGGCAGAGTTCACTGCTGCTGTGTTGCAGTTTATTGCACAGGGAGGCTTTTGCTGCATGGAATTGTGCTCCTAATTAGCATTCAGATGTTGATGATGAAGAACATTGGTGAGGCTAATTGAACCACCTCTGCAATTCAGGGCTGCCTTCCAAAGTTAAGAGAATTGGGGTGAAGCAGTAGTTTTTGCATTATTTCTTGGACTCTTCCTCCCTTTTCTCCTCCGCTTTGTCCCATCTTTTCAAGAGATGTTAAAATTCTCAAAAAGCAAATGCAAAATGTTCCTTCGGAAGGAGGTTTTGCTCGTGCATCTCCATGCAGAACTGCTGATGACACACTGTGACATCCTTGATAACTAGCTTTTATCATGAAATATGCTGCCCTTTAAATATTTTACATTGCTTTTGATGTAGAGTAGTTGAGGTAAACAACCTAGATTCAAACAACCTCTTAAATTTATGTGCAGGGATAGTTAATCCTTGCTGGCGATAAACCTTAATTGGCCATGTACATGGATTTACAAGTTCATAAATTTTAAAATATCCACACCTGGCTTCAGCTTAAAGCTCATTTGTCATAAAATACAAGTGGAGATCTGTCTGCCAAAAATGACAAGATACAGCAAACTAATTCCCTAACGTGTTTACGAGTGTTTGTAATCCAGTGTAGCTGGTCAAGAAATTACTTATGCAAAACACACGTACTTATTTGCCTGGCTTTTCTGCCTGGAATCATCTTCAAATGTCTCTCATCTGCCCTTTTTGGAATATCTGCTCATGAAAACATTGTTTTCATTGCTCACTCCTTTGAAGCCAGCCTTTTCAGTTATGCTGGAAGACAGAGCTGCTTACTGGGGCAAAAATACCATGAATTTTATTTACTGTTTATGTGGCAGCTATAGAAAATGTGATTCATAGCAAAATTGAAACAGAGCCTCTCGAATGGTGAGAAGGAAAAAATATCATCAAGGGATATTTGAAAAGGAGGCTGGCATTGCAAGGCTGCGGTTGAGTAATTGAGTGGGCTTAGAAGGTTAAGATATCACTTGCTGCTTGGTTTTAATTTTTTATCCACAAAAAGTAAACATTACAGCTTCTTAGTGGGGTACCAGTTCCTGTTAATGTTTTCTGGACTTCAGAAATCAAGCCGTCCGGTGCTGTTTGCAAGTGCATTAGTCAAAAACAGCTGAAAATTAGCTGAGGATTGAAAGAAAAACAAGCCACGGTCTAGTAAGTCCTCTATTTTAATAAGAATAAATCAAGTTTCAGTTTAAGAAAAAAGGTGGGAACGTACAGTCCCAACTACGGTGTATTCTAAGAACTTAGGCTATAAAAAAACAAAACACATCAATCCTCACGGTAAAAAGTAACTGATGAAGGACAAGATTCTTCTGCTTGGGGGGAAAAAAACAAAACCCAATTATTTAAGAGTTGCATAAAACTCCAGTTACTCAGCAGTTGACAGATACACAAAATTATGAGGTGTAATACAGCCAGAAAATATAAGGTATAATCTGGCTAGGAAAGGTGAATTTAGCTTAAACACAGCTTTTTAGACAAAAGATATCCATCTTTTGGGTTGTGATTAACTTGCATCAGTCTTTGATCCAAGCCCTTGTTTAAAGGGATCAATATTGCACATACAGCACTGAGTTTATTGTCAAGTCCTTTCGGAAATGAGACAGTGAATTAAAAATCAATTATACGTGCAGAAAAGTTTGTGTAGGGCAATCAATTTTGTCCTTTTAGTTTGCAGAAAGATTCCATTGTTTAACCAGCTGTGAAGAGGAATGAATTTTAAAAGCCTCCAGCAAATGAGATAGCCCAAATGGGGTGGGGGTAGATTCAAAAAAAATTATTTCAGCATTTCATGTACAGCAAAGGCTGCCTTCAGGGATAAATCTATAAATCCTGTCAGTGACCTTGGCTTCAAAATGGGTGATTTCACTGCTTTCGTTAATCTTGATCTTTCCACAGCTGCCAGATAAGTTAGCCTTTTCTTAACAATATCATTATAGTTTTTGTTTGCTTTGTTTAACTGCCATATGTTTCTCGATTCATCGTCTTTCTGCCTTCATGTGGAATATTTTTATCTATTAAGTGCTTGCCATATTGCTGATCCCCCAAAATAATACAACAAATATTTACACTGGCCAGTTGCCACGGCTCAGAGGGCTATTTCTGCACAGGGCCGGGAAGCTAAACTCCGAGCTGAACTCCTCTGTAAACTGAATAATTTGTAGGTGCTTTCACAAGTTGGGTTTGGTTTGGTTTTCTAAAAAAAAAAATAGGCTTGTAATAGGGAGACAGAAGCACAGTTCACTGTTGCCAGAGGGAAGGAATCTGCTGCCTGGAAGATTAATAAATGCTCTAGCAGTTGATTGTTGAAACCATGTTTTTCATCTCATTTTCAAGGGCGTCTTAAAAATGGAGATCGCTTACACTTGGTAGCGTTCTCGATCATCTTTCCGTGTTCATTTCAAAACGAGAACAAGACACTGGGGGACTTGAGAGATTGCGTCTGTTCTCCCATCGGGCAGAGTGGTTATTTTATAAATGAAGAGGGCCAAAAAAGCTGTCCTTCGTAGTTTCTTAGCAACAGAGCCGGAGTCGGGTTTAACGTCCGCGCGTACCGTACGAGTGCTATGTATAGCAGCACGGGCTGTGCAGCTCGGCAGCGTGGCGGCTGAAACAAAGGGCACTCACCCAGCCTTGGGCAGGGGAAGAAAATCTGCCCAGCGTGCCCATACGGTGCACGGCTCGTCGTCTTCCTCCTCTCACCATCAGATGATGCCCTGGGCAGGGGCACGGTGGCTGTCTGCACTGCTCCGACAGCTAATTCAGATTTTTGTCTGCAAAGAGATCTGGAATCTGATTTAAATATAATGCCTTTTATCCCGTTTCTTTCTGAAAGGAAACTGAGTCACAGCATTAACAGTAAGAGCGTCAGGCGAGCACAGGGATTGTCATAATTACGGCAGCTTCTAGGGTTAATGCTTTTGCTACAGCAAGCAGAACCAAAGGAGTGAGTGTTGTAATCATGGTAAAACTAACCCCCCATCAGTTTCTTAATTTTTTTAATTTAATTTTTAGAAGATACTGTGTATCAAAGCTGTCTTGCTTACGTTCCACTCACCTGTTTACTCTCCATTTTTGTACATATTTAATTCCCAAATTCCAAAATTCAGAATTTTGTAAAGATTCATATTTGTTAGTAGTATGATGGACTTCTGAGTCTGATAAATTCCATAGGGTACTTCTCACAGTTTGCTTCCCCTTCTGAACACAAATTTAGTAAATGCCCTTCCATAGGCTTTCTGGCTTGTTTTCCTTGATGTACATTGTCCCAGCGTCTAGGATTGTGTGAAGGTTTTCATGGTTTTGAAAACAGTTTTTAAATTTAAATACAATAGTGTTTAGCTCCCTGTTTTCAGAAGATTGATTGTTTTGGAAATGCTCTAAATAGTGTGATTTAAATTTTACCTTTCCTAATGGTCTAGGAGGGGGACATCCACGTGCATAGGGAGACATCCGCAGCTCTTGGTTTCATTTCAGATGGTGTCAATTGCCATGGCATATTCCAGTAGTTGGAGTTTGTCTTGCAGCTGTTAAGAAATTTGCATCAGTCTAAAGAATCCCTATCTCTGTACTACCTAAAAGTGCAATTTTAATATAGTAACATGGTAATATTACTATAGTAATATAGTAATGGTGCAGTGCTGTGTTGTTTTCCATGTCAAGTGTATGATAGAAATGCTGCCCAGCATCTTTCCAAGTCATTTTGGCTTAGTCTAAGTTGATACAGCTACCAAGTGATTCTAACCCATGTCAGAATTACTGCAATAAATGCATAGAGCCCGGGAATGGATTGAAACCTGGGAACAATCTTAGCTGTGACTCACACCACATGAAAAGCTCTTCAGCTTGCTGTGTCCGAGGTGCTTTTTGCTGTAAAGGATGCAGAAGTGTTCAGGCAGTTCCTTTGTCTTTGCCATTGTACCCAAGGATGAGCAGTGCTATCCTTGCAGAAGGATGTTCCATGCCCTCTTTGCATTTCTGGGAATATTTATTCCAGTTTGTCCATGTTGTTTGTTTTCTCTAGTGAGGTGAGAGTCTCGTAGTCTCAGGAAATTGCCAGGCTCTTACCAGACTCTGAGATTTTGTAGAGGCACCTTGGTTGGGCCGTGCTGCCAGCGGGAGCCATCGTGTGCTACAGGCGTAGGAAATAAAAGCTATCTGTTTTGCTGCCTTGCAAGTGGTAATTCAATATTTTAGATTGTTTGGGCAGCGAAGGGTAGGGTAGCGCTGTTGAACTGCTTAAGCCTGATGGATGGAGAAGAAACACGTTTTCAGGACTGCAATCCATAACCCAGATGGAGCGGCATGACGCCGGGGAGGCTGGCAGCTCCGGCTAAGGAACGGGAGTCTGAAGCTGAACCCTTACTGATTTAGGCACCTGCAGGTAAAATATCTTCAGAAATCGTGTTGGAGGAACAGCAGAAGCAGTGCCCAGGATGCTGGGAACTTGGCATCCAGGTAAACCTTGGTGACAACCAACTTGAGCTCCGTGGCAGAGGGTCTTGCCAAAGGAGACTGATACCGAACCAAACAATTATCTAAAAAATGGGAGTTTTAGTATAATTAAGGGTATTTTTGAAATACGGCACTCTTAAGGTTTTGATTTTAATGTCAGGAAAAGCTCATTTTGAACAGGTATTTGATTTTTCTAATAGCTATGAGGAGAAAAACCAAGACTAAACAAAAGTAACTTTTCCCAGTGACACTGGATTTGCTGTGATCCTGCCTGACAGCTCATCTGAGACTTATTTACTATGGACCAGGGGATGTTACAGCAGAAAATGACAGAATTCCTCTTTGAATTGGTATAGTGACATAGTTCTTATTTAAGAAACTCTGATTACTGTCACAACATGGATGCTCTGTGTGCTTTAGCGCTCAGGACTTATCTTTCCTGCACAAGCGTAAGCAGCCTGAATGCCAAGCTACACCTCATTTGCAAGTTCTGTTTGCATGATAAATTTTATTTTTCTAATCTTCCCTATCAACAGCGCTGATTTTTTTTAATCTTTCAGATGACATAAAAATGCATTTTAATGAAGCAAATTATATAGCTTTGTCTCCTTTTGTGCACAAGCGGGGCGGCCATATTCAATTAGGCTGAAAAATGATCATTTGTTCTATTACAGGCTGTAACAGAGCGAGAGAGAAAACTGTGATCCATCACCAGTTGCTCAGCTTTATGTTACTTAAATCACTTGCCATTCTGTCAGCAGCTCCGAACCCTCTATGGGAGCCATTATTTAATTTAAGTTTGTGGAGGTGTCACTTGTTTGATAATAGGCTGCTTCTGTAGTAGACGCGGAGCGACTAAATATTAATCATTTTCTGCATCCATCCAAGATTCCTAATTAGTTAGAAGGGTAACAGCGCCAGTAAAGCTAATGATTATGCTGCCATAAAAAGAATGTGACAGCAAATAAGGACTCGATCCAGCGAGATGCTGAGTGCCTGCCAGTGCCGGGGAGCCTGAGGGAGCTGGGGACACCGAGCGGTGTGCAGGGTAAATGGGGGGTGTGGGGCGACCTGGGGGGGCATCCTATAGATTTGGGAGTGCAGATGCCACCTTGGAAGGATCCTGTTTCCCGTTTCGTAGCAGCCAAGCAGCTCAGCTTTCAATCTTTTTTGAGAAGTTTGTTGTCAGCACAGAGGAAGCTCCCCAGGACAGCCTGTAAATAAGCTGAGCCGCTGCAGAGCTCTGCTGGAAGGGGCGTGCGGTTAGGTCGGCTCTTCCTTCCTCCTCGCCTGGGGTTGTGTAAAGGCTCTGCCCTGCTGCTCGGCGCTGCTGAGGGTGCAATCAAAAACAACCACTTGGTGCTCCGTGTCCGATGCTGCTTTTGTGCTTTCGTGTGCTGTGGTTTTGAAGATACAAAGTGCACATCGCTCCTGGGTTTGTGGTTTCACTTCAGCTTTTACTGCCCTCTGATATCTCGCTCGTTCCCCTATCCACGTGTGCACGATCCACCACATATTTTCTTTCTTGTTTGTTTCTTCGTGCCCTTCCTCTTCTCCCTTACCCCTCTATTCATAGCATCCTCTCAGATTTATATTTAGGCTATATGGGGAGATGGATCAGACAGGGGCTTATGCATTTAGAGGACCCAAATAAGCACCCCAGCATCTTGCTCTTCCCTGGATTGGAGTAATTTCAAGCACTCAGATCAACCATTCCACTTCTTACAAATTGGAGAAGGCGAAAGAAGGCACCTCTGGTTCATTAGGGTGCTTATTTTACAAAGGAGTTAACCTGTTACGGAGGACACTGTCTGGGTCTGTAGGTCTGGGAGGCAATTTCAGAGTCTCAGCACTTCTTCCCCACATCTGCACCTTTCACATTCCCTTTGCCACCGTTCTCCTTTGTTACACACGCATCATTTCTGGGCCTTCGTTTCCGATTCTTTTTTTTCTCCCTCTTCTATTCATGGCTCACTTTTTCACATTTGGCACCCTCTCCCCCCGCCCCTCGACTAGATGTTTTGATTCAGAGGCCCTTACACAAAAGAAAAGGGAACTTATGAATCATCTGCTTCTTTTTAAAGCTACTTTTATGCGTTGCTGCCAAGATCACCGTGTGAGCCAACGTCTTCTTCGGTAATTGGATGGCGGCGTTGCGGAAGTGCATCAGTCACTCGCTGTGATCTTACGTTCGCGGGACAAAAAAGCAGTGGATAATTGAACAATGCAGGTTGTAGCATGGGTCCCCGTGCCACGGGAGCTTGCAAGAAACCGAAACCTCGCGCAGTGGAAATTAGTTTTAAAGGGGGGAAAAAAAAATCAGAGCTGATAATTGTCAGGCAGCTCAGCTGATGGTGCATCCACGCTGCCGTAAGCACTCTGCTTGCAGATTTTGGTGCTCGAGTTGCACAGTGAGCAGCCCTGCTTCAGCTCTACCGAGGGGCTTGCTGACATGCTGTCTGCTGTCTCTTGGTGGGGACAGCTCAGGGATTTCTCATCTCTTAACTTTTTTTTGACGGGCAGAATTTTTGATATAATAAAAGCCCCGGTGATGGTCAGCAAACCCAGCTTCAAAAACGGGTGGCAACCTTGGGCAGTGCAGCACTGAAGATGGCTTTCTGGAGGAGATCTGGAGTGTTCTGAACGTGCTTGTGTTGGTCTTGGTGTTGAAGGCTTTCTGATCTGTGTCATCCTAGGTGGAAATGGAAGCTGGCTGCTAAACTTTCATTTCTCTAACTACAACGATAGAAATTCTCGAACCATCAGAACCCCCCTTTTTGTTGTGAACACTTGAGCAGGATGGAGAACTCCTGCCCTACAGGACAGAGCTTGCTTTCTGCTTAATCTAGGTCTCTCA